GGAAAATAAAAACTCATTGACATTGGTGAGTTTTAGACATTTTGAAAAATTATGATGGATTTAAGAGAAATGCTGAAAAGTCATGGTGAGTTTTGGACAATTACCCTTTTTTCTAAAAGGTTTCATGAGAAAATGTGCCAAACAGGTTAATTTATGGTCTCATAGTTGATACCAACTGAAATAAATTCACTTTAATATACAATATAGCATTTGTTTTCAATTAAATTTCCCTCAAAAGAAATTGTTTTCAATTAAATCGCTGTGGCTTCAATATGGCCATATCAAATCCACATTGTCTTCATTCAAAACTCTTCCGATACCATGTTTTTTCCCAACATTGAAATGTGCTTATTTCTTTGAATTATGGAATGTCATTGTTTCTTTCCTTACATAACAATTTGGAATTATAAAGACCCCCTGTTTTTTTTTTTTTTTTTTTTCCAAACTACCCTTATTTATTTATTTGAACATTTTATGATCCCATCTTGGTTGCTCCAATAGATCCTTGCAGATTCCTAACTAAATTTAATATTCAAATGAAAAGGTGTTGGTTTCTTTTTTCATAGATATAAATTAAGGTTTTGTTTGGTTTTTCTTAATTTATTAGACAAAGGAATGGATAATTTTTATATTTTAAGATAAAGAGAGACATTCATATCAGTGAAATGGAACAAGAATTTAAAGAAATTATATGGTTTTCTATATCAGTAAAATTATTCTTGTTATTTTAGCTAGTTTTGTTTGGAGAAGGTGGAAATATTTTTGTATCAATTAGGGTTTGAAAGAAAAAGATGAGGAAAAGAAAATAAGTTCATGTGAATATTTTAGTATTTTAAGACATTCTATCATCTGACTTAATAGCCAAGAGGGTGTTTGTCTCAAAGTGAAAGTTCAGGGAGTCATTGTCCCAAATGAAAGTTTAGAGTGGTAATTGTCATTAATCCCATAGTACAGGGTGGTCTCTGTCATAGATGAAAGTCTAAGGGGGTAATTGTCACTGAGCCATGTGCGAGAAAATCAAACGGGAAGTTTGCCCCATCATGTATTTATAAAATATAATTTAGACCGAAAAAAAGATAAAAAAGGGAAGAATTGTTCATCTTCGTCACCGGCACCCCTATTCCTCTCTTTCTCAGAAATCATAACTCAGAAGACCGCCTTCTTTATTCTTTAGATGGTCACCTCTATTGGGTTACAGCTATTGTTAACAATATGAGCTTTGGGTATGGCACTATGCCTTCCGATTAGAATTTTCAGCATGTATGATAGCATTTCTCAAACAAAATCTCCAAAATAACCACCTGAATATACAAAAAACCCTAATAGCTTCCAGATTGATGATCATTCAACTCTGTTTTATTGCTTTCTTGAACTGAAATCTTTCCATCCAAAACACTTAAAACACCAATTTTTCTGCATTTTCATCAATTCCAAACCAAAAGAACAATAGCAGTGGAGTATACGAACAGATCTAATAATCTCAACTCAATCCTTTCTGTTAATACTTAATATCCAAAGGCCTTCCACAGTTTCGTTGAAATGTAGTTGTACCTACAGTTTCAACGGATCTAATTACCAGGCAAATCCCATTAGATATACATCCATTAATATCATCCTGGAGTTTAGTTGAGTTTCGTGGCACTCTTCATTTCAGACACGTACTACATGTGTTTTTTTGCTGTTGAAAAATGAAAGAGAAGGAGAGGAATAGGGATGTTGAYGAAGACTAAAGACTCTCTGATTGTTGAGCTGGGGCGAGTTAGGGAAGAAGATAAATAGTTTTTTACTTTTTTTAAGTTCCAAAAAAATATATTTTTGGAAACAATGACGCAAACTTCCTGTTTAACTTTTTCGCACATATGACTGGAGTGCCCGTGCAAACTATAACGTGTTTCAATTTGATTGGTTACCAGAAGATCAAGTGCAGGAGATCCGGATTCATTGAGAATACTAACAATGTGGAATTCAATTGAAGAAGGAACCCTAGAGAATGCACCGGATCCCCCTGGGGTCCTCATCCACTTTCGTATGTTTCTCTGTTACGATCTGCTATAGTGTTGACGCCTATGATTCTAGAAAGGAGTGAGATCGGTGAGAAGGCACCCACTCTACGATGGGGAGAACTAGGGATTCTCTTTTCTGGGGAGGAGAGATCCCCTGAAATTTGCGTTGATCAGCAAATGTGTTCATGGAAGACCACCCCCCTTCATGAGATCAAGGATTTCTTGATCCGAGCGTTCCATCTAAGGCTATGTTTGGTTTAAAGGAAAAGGAAGGGAACGACAGGAAAACTAATACAAGATTTGTAAATGTTTCCTTACCTTTCCTTTCCTTTCCCTACCTTTTCCTTCAAACCAAACATAGCCTAAAGAAAAACCCAATGATTCCTTCATTGGTTTCACGCAACATTCTCATTAGGTTCACTGATGAAGAAGAATTTTCGAGAGTGTGGTTGCATGAGTTCTTTAGAATCAAGGATTTCTATTTCCATCTCTTCTCTTCAAGTGGATGCCAGCATTTGATTTAGGTTTGAAACTTACCATAGTACCGATATGGATCTCTTTCCTTAAGCCATTGGTGAATTTTTACAATGATGCTTTCATTTGAGCTATTGCCCAGGTTGCAGCTGGATAGGTGGTTAAAGTAAGTACATCTACTAGAAATTTCACTCGAACGACAGAAGCTAGGGTTTGTATTGAAATTGATCTTCTTTAGACTGCATTTGGATGCGATGTAAATCAAGAACCGATGTACAGGCATTTGGAAAGAGCATGTAATTATTATCGATGTAAAATTTCACTCCACTTCAGTTTTGCGTGCATTTGGATGGAGTGGAGTTTTACGTCGATAATCGATGTAAAATCTCATCAGCTCTAAAGTTTTACATCAATAATCGATGTAAAAACTACATTGATTTTATTGATGTAAAATTTTACACTCTTCCACCCATCAATATTTTCAAAAAGCAATGGTCACTTTCATGGTTTAGTGTAAAACCCCTAGCTTGTTAGAAAGAAGAAACCCAAAACCAAAGAGATTGACAAGGTCTCAACTGACCCAAGGTTCCCCTCATTTTATATATGATAAATGGTATTTTTTTGGAACATTAGTGGTATTAATATTATTAACTCCAAATCAATTTGTAGGCTAAAGAAATTGGTGAAAATGCATAAGAATGGTAGTCTTGCCATTGCCAAGCCCAAGGTTGGGCAAAGCCGCATAACTGGCGTTGCTAGGAAACTTCAAATGATAAGATTTGGCTATTTTGGTCCACTGGTTTTTCAGTGAACATAGTGGTAGATGCAAACCAATTTATCCATTGGGATGTGATCAATTTACCCAATAACTATCATTGCCTAGTCTTGGTGGTATAAGCTAAATGTTCTAGAGTTGATGGTGGAAGGCTTTGACATGATTTATCCTCTTGGAATTTAAATAACTCTACCCCTTGGGTTAATAGTTGGTGATTTTAATTAAGTCTTAAACCCTATAGAGAGGATTAGTAGGTCCTTGGACTTGGGTTTTATGAATGATTTTCAAATTTTTGTGGACTCTCAGCATCTGGTAAAAGCCACTTTTGAAGGTAGGATGAGAATAATAATCTGCTCTCAGTAATCCCTTAGTTACTGATGAGGATAACACAGTTTTGATGCAAACACCAACTCTTGAGGAAGTTAAATATGCAATTTCTTTTAATTAAAACAAGAGGCAGTCCTGGGGCCTGATGGGTTTTTCTGGCAAATTCTTCAAGTTTTGCTGGAACATTACAACTGATGACATATGTGATGCAATTCAGTTTATATTTACAGGATGTGAAATTCCAAGGGGATTCACTTGTTTTATTGTTACCTTGACTCCAAAAATTGATAGCCCACAAACTTTTGCAAAATTTTGGCCCATTACAAAATTCTTGCAAAAATTATGACCAACGGGTTGAGCATCTTAATGCCTAAATTCATTTCAGAAGAACAAGGGGCTTTTATGAAATGTAGTACTTTCCATTCCACCTACCTAGTTCAGGAGATGACCTAGGAAATTAACAGAAGACATGGGCTCAATGTATTGCAGAATTTGGATATGGCTAAAGCCTATGATAGGCTTGAATGGAGCTTCCTGTATAAGGTGGTCCTCAAGTTTGGCTTTTCAGAAAGATGGGTGGAACTAATGAGAAAAGTGATTTCAAATTGCTAGTTCTCTATCATTATGAGATCCCATTTGTCCAGTTAAGTTTTGAAATGGCCTTGACTTTATCTGTCCATTGTCTTCAAGAATTAAACTGAGCAGAACCCTTGGACAATAATGGACACAAACTGTTTACAATTGGACATTAACTTTAGTTTTTGACTCAACTGAAGATTCCAACTTGTTCAATTGGCAAGTTCTCTATCTGGTTGTAACAGAGGCTTGGGACAAATGGGGTTTGATTAGGGATGTCAATGGGTTCCGGTTAAGTGGTAAGCCTATATTGACCCGACCCTATTGGGCTAGAGTTGGGTTCAGTTTGGGCCCAGATCGTGCTGATCCTGATGGATTGAAATCATGGCATGGGGTAGGTGGGTTGAGTTTGGCAACCCTTTTATTTAGTGAGGTCGGAGAGATTTGGGTTAGAGTAGCTTCGGTTCGGATTCGGGTTGGCCAACCCAGCCCGTTTGCATCCCTCGGTTTGATTTGATCATTGATGGACAAATCACCCCCTGTTGTGGATCCCCATTCACATAAAAATTATACGTTTCTGATAATTCTCATTTCTAAAAACTTTCCGCACAATTACTGTTAGGTCTGCTTTTAACCATTGGACACTCCAGTAGGATGTGGGGACTCGGGACATAGCAATGTCAATTGTCAAGAAGGGATGTCAATGGGCCGGGTTATGTGGTAAATCCACATTGACCCGACCCTATTGGCTTAGGATCGGATTGCCGAATGGGTTTTCGGGTCAGTTTATGTTGTACTCTTTCTCCAGCTTCCCATCCCAAGTCTTTCTTCCAGAAGATCTACACTGAGACGCACAACAAACCAATAATATCATTCATGTGATAATACATGCTGCACTTCCCCATGTTTGCGCTTATTCAAAATTTCAAATAAACCAGTTATGGTTGCAGAGTATTGTCACATGATAGCACCAAGTACCGACTACCAACATAATTTACAACCTAAATCCTTGATCCTCAGTCTGTTAATCTTCGCTTCAAAAAAGTATTTCTCACACCTCACCACACTAGAATCACTGTCTCAGGGATAAGCCTGAACACCACCAACATAAGTGGCCTCAACAGATGCAGATGCCTCAGCAGCAAAGTTATCCCATGAAACAGTGGACAATACAACAAAATCTGCCAATTTGCCAGGAGATAGGGATCCCAATTCATTATCAAGGGAAATTGCATGAGAAGCTGAAATGGTATACCTGCCATGGAAAAATCCAATTTAAACAGAAGACAAAAGAGTTAAAAAGGCACTAACGAAATAGATCATAATACAGTCGGCTTATAAGACAAGAATATTTATTCTATAAATTTGTCATTAGAAGGGGCCATTGCTTGGTTTAATGGTAAAATCATAGGCTGACAAACATGAGAACAAGGGTTTGAATATGATAGCAGCCACTCTGTGTGAAAAAAAATGCAAAAAGTTAGGTCTGTTTCCAGTCCAACCTTCCTAGCACCGCAGATATCTGGGATAACATTGGCTAATAACCTTTTAAAGTTGCTATTAAATATTCACTTAGGTTCGTTCAGGAGAAACAAGACAACTTCCATAGTCCTTGGAAGTTTCTTACATGTATTTGCAATTACATTTATTTATCTAATGTAAGTATTTTTACCATTCTAGCAGCGGCCACTTTGTGCAAAAAATAATTAGTGAATAAGAAATTATGGAGCTTGTGAACTTAATGGCTCAAGCTGAAATTGGGTTGATTACTATAACCTCGAATGTTTTATTATATAATTATTTTATCCACTTAAAGACAAACCAATGTCTTTCAGTTCAGCCACGTTGGCCATTAACAGGTGGCCATTGAGCAATCCAACAGTTACGAAGTAAATTCAAATGCGTGAAGGCAAATTTTCATAGAATCTGATATACATCTTTCCCTTTCTGTAAGTATTCTTTCTTATATAGAATGAACTCTAAGATCACTAGAAATTCCTAAAAGTTAGGTAGTATATCATTATTATTATTTTGCAAAATAAAAGTTAGGTACTCTATAAAGTTAAAGAAACTTGCAACTAAACAAGGCACAAGAAATTAGACACTTTGGTCATTCTTGGTTCAATATTGATTCCTTGATGTTTTTCTTAAATGGTAAAATTATTTAAAAACAGGAATTGTGAATGGTGATCATAGAATGGGCACTGGGGAAGGTGAGTTCATGAGTGAAACTAAATGGAGAAGAGTGCTCAAGTCTGAGGAAAAGTAATTTCTTTTTGAAAGCTCCAAGGTGCCGTGGGTGGTAGCTTTGAAGATAAGAGAAATGAAGCTAGCAATGGTGTACTTGGAAGGAGAAAAGGATGTGGAATGGTTTGTAGATTTTGTGGAGAAATCATCTCAGCTGAACTAGAAGATGGATTGCAAGGGGTCTTTGGAGAAGGTAACAGAAGGTATATGGCAGAAAGGAGGAAAAATTCCAAAGGAAGGTTCCTGGTGCTGTATGAATTTTTTGGTGAAGGAAAAAAACAGCTGGTTTGCTTTCCTGAAGGGAGGGGGATGGCTGGAAGGAGATATTGAAGACCATAAAAGACTTACTGAATCTAGGGAAAAGATTACAAACCCCAAGAACCAGGCAGTCTGAGCAGATGGAGTTAACGGCCTCAATGGAGACTGTTGGATTGGTAGTTGCAGGTGCTGCTTCCAAGTGAAGGTAGATGGTCTGCACTGCTTCGAGGGAGGATTGGAAGCAGAAAAATAGTAGTGGAAACAAATAAATCACCAAGAGAATGGAGAAAAGTGGCAGAGGAGTTATTGAGAAACCTGAAATTGAAGACCACAATTATTTTAATCCCTTTTGAAGAATGCAAAGCATTACTGGAGGTGCTAGGGGTGAGATGGATTTAGAATCTGTATCCTATCATCTGGAGTGTGGTGCTGCTACCATTTTGAGGTGGTCTCCACTAGCCAATGCTAAAATTTGGAGGTAGAAGACAATTTAAAGGAGATCCTGATTCACCAGACCCCATTTTTACTTGAATTTACAAGACTTACCTATTTGCTCAAAGTTGGATAGGTTTATTTTTAATACATTTTCAGAGGATCACTGGGGAGGACTGATGACTAGGGAATTGCCAAGAGTTACTTTAGATCATTGCCTAATAAGAATTGGAATGGAGGATTTCCAGAATGGCCTCACCTCCCTTTAGATTTGAAAACATGTGGTTCGGTCATCCAGATTTTATTCATGGAGTGGAAGAGTGGGGGAATGAAGAGGTTAGGGGTGTAGAGTGGAACGAAATGAGATTGCACAGAAAGATACAACTCAAAGGCTAGATAAAGAAGTGGAATAGAACATTTTGGAAGAATTAAGCAAAGGAAAAATATTGTAACCTCTCAAATTGAGCAATTGGATGAAAAGGCTATTTTCTCAATGGATAGATCAAAAGTGTTAGGACAAGATGGTTTTACAATAGCTAGTGAATGTGTGGATGATTTTAAGAGGAGGAAAGGTTGTGTGTAAACTAGACCTGGAGAAAGCCTATGATATGGTGGATTAGGTCTTTCTTTTGGATATTTTGAAGTGCTATAGTTTGGAAGAAAGATGGTGTGACTGGACTGAGGGTTGATTGAAAACTTGCCATTACTTGGTTTTGGTGAATGGGGTGGTGAGGGATTTTTTCCCAGCTACTAGGGGTTTAAGACAAGGGGACCCTCTTTCCCCTTTCCTCATTATTCTAATTGTCGATGTGTTCAGTAGGCTTCTCTTGAGGGAAGATAGTACTAATTTATTTAGAGGTTGGAGGGTGGGCAAGAATAATGCGCAAGTAACATACTTGCAGTTTGCAAATGATACAATAATTTCTATGAGGGTGAGGATCCTAGAGAAGCTAGGCAATTAAAGAGGGTGATTAAGCTATTTGAATATATTTCTAAGCTCAAAATCAATTTTGAGAAGAGTTGTGAGGCTTGGATAAATCTAGAGCAGGAAGATTTGACTGTTGTAGTGGAGGTCCTAGGCTATCCTACTACTTGTTGGTCTATGAGATATTTGCGTATACGCGTATGACCTTAGGAGACAATCTAGAAGAAAGCATGTTTTGGAGTCTAATAATAGAGAACTACCCTATGAGATTGACAGCTTGGAAGAGAAATTGCATTTCTTTTTTGGGGTAGAATTACATTAATAAAATCCACCTTAGCAAACTTGCCAATTTATTACTTGTTGGTCTTTAAAATGCCGCAAAACGAAGTCCAAAATGTAGAAAAACTGATGAGAGATTTTTTATGGGAGCCTGGTAAAGTAAGGACCACCTAATTAAATGGGAGATGGTGTGCAAAAGCAAAGAGCAGGAGGGCATAGGGATTGATAATTTAAGGAAGAATTTATCCTTGTTTGGTAAATGGCTATGGAGATGGCTTTTGGAGAGGGGGAGACTTTGGCAAGAGGTTATTGGTAGTATTCATTGAAGTGCAGACAATGGTTGGGACGTTGGGGTCTCTTCGAGGGCTACCTTGGCTTCCCTATGAAAGTCAATTTGGCAAGAGGTTATCAGGTATGATGTTTTCTCTGGAGACAAGGTTCCCTTTCGTGAGGACCTTTGGATAATCAACTCAACCCTTAAAGATCTCTTTCCTTCCTTGTACTCTCTTTCTTTGTTCAAAACAGAACTTGTCCATCGGTTTGTGTCCGCATCCTCATTGATTGGGGTCAGTTGGAAATTGGGTCTAAGGAGAGGTTTGAGAGGCCATGAGCTTGTTAGTGCAACATCGCTCCTACAAATCCTTGATTCTGTTTTTCTTCTCATGTTCCTCTTTTTTTTCCTATTCCTTATGCTCTTCCCCTACCCCTCAGCCTTGTCATGTGAAAGAAATTTGGTCCAAACACATTCCTCCCAAGTAGGGGCTTTGTGTTGGGAAGTCTATCAAGGAAAACTTAATACATTGGATGTCCTACAAAAAAAAAGACCTAATTTGTGTGCTTCCCTGCATTGGTGTTTCCTTTGTAAAGCAAGTGGAGAAAGTTGCTACAACCTTTTAATCTCCTGCCCCTTTGTTGTAGGTATCTGGGAAAAGATTTTTGATCTTTTTGGTATTAGGTGGAGTGTGGCCACTCAGGTTGGTAGTCTCTTTGACCCTACGACCTTCAGCTTGCCAAAGAGAAGAGCTAGGGTTACGTGGAGATGTGCTCGAGCTGCATTGATCTGGATAGTTTGGGAGGAAAGAAACAACAAAATTTTCAATTGTACAGAAAGGAATGAGGAGGCAGTGTGGGAATGTGTTGTAAGTAGGGCAACTCATTGGACTAAATTGGTAAACCTCTTCTCAGACTTCTCCTTTGGTGATATTTGGCGAAATTGGGAAGCTGTATAAAAAAGTTCAATTAAGAAGGATAAATTTTGATGGCAGTGGTCTTGGAAACCAGGCCGGCTGGCATTGGAGGAGTTTTTCGAAATCCTGATGGACACATTCTTGCTGTATTCTCAGGCCCTGTTGGAGAAGGGGATCTGGTGTATGCTGTATTAAAGCAGTCTTGCAAGGAGTACAAATTGCTAGAGACTTCAACTATGACAGATTGGTAATTGAAGGTGACTCCAAGTTGGTAATAGGATGGCTGAAGGAACCAGAAACAGTGGTTTGGAAATATAGGGATTCTATAAAAAGGTTTAAATGACTAAGTAGAGATGTTATAAACTTTGTTCAATAGGAAAGGTGGTCAGCAAATGGGTTAGCAGATTTTTTTTTTTTTTTTTTTTGCAAAACAGGGGGAGCATAAGTTGAACTATTTGTGGCTCAACTGTAATTCAGATTATGTAATGAGGGCTGCATCTCGTGCCTCTGCTTAAATGTTGTTATTGTAACACCTTTATTATATCTAATAAAATCTTCACCATTTATCAAAAACATATTTAAAAACAGGAATCCATTACCCATTGCTGGTCCTATCTATCTAGGGTACTGAGAGGTGTGTAAAGACCAAGCAAAAAGTCATTCAGTCCAACCACTTCAGTTGTTATCAAAAACCCCTTGCAAGAGGTTTCTTCTTTGATTTTCTTCAAGGAAACCACAGCATTAACCAGGAACCAAGTTGCTTTCCATAAAAGAAAGATTGGGTCACACGAAAAACTTGTTTGAGTGCAGATTGCAATGAATAATATTAGCAGAAGTTGGCTGCATAAGAATATGTGGTTGAATATAAAGAGTGGAAGGTAAAATCACACTTAACAAACTGTCTTACTTTTACATAGAACAAGGAAT